ACCAGCACGGATCAGCTCCAGGCATGACGAAGCGGATATCGTTCTCTTTTGGAAGACCAAACAAAGTAGTTTCGCTTTCACAACGAAACACAGCGCCTTCATGAATAAAAGTTACGCCTTCTTTCTTTGCTTGAACATTTGGGCGGCGTTATGCAAATCTTGCCACATAGTGAGGTAGATATGTGGGGGCGTGTTCGAACGAGCCGTTTTAGGTAGGTGTGGCTGACTCTTAACTTTGATAAAGAATATCTCTTTGGATTTGAGACTTTAGTCTTTACAACTTTACAGATCTTCTTTATGCACCAAGAGTTTGTAACACTCCAAAGAGAAAGGAAAAAATGAAATCGCATCATATGACCCCTTTAAATATGAAATTCTGAAACAACTATAAGGAAAACAGTACAATTAATTATTTGACTGGGAAAAACAATCTTATATTTATAAATGACAATGAAGTACTTTATCCTCTTGGGGTGAAAGACATAAAAAAGCATCGAAAACATGTAAAGTGTTTAAAGAACTGTAATTTTTGCCTGGAAACGGATGAACAGAGGAAATCAAACCATGTACAATTAGTACAAATCAAGCCGAGCGTTCATGTGGTGTTTTTGTGCTGAAGGGTTTGTGTGCAGGTGTGTGTGCACGCGCTTTTGTGTGTGTTTGTAACCTAAACTCTTTTGTCTTGAGGCTTGTGGGTATTATAGCACCAAATGAAATGTGCGGTTGAGCACCTTTATTGTCAACATAAGAGTTCAAATTACAGGTGCAGTAATCGCATACAGGTACACACACACACACACACACACACACACACACACTTCACAATACATACAAATAACAGACGAATATTACAAAACAGTTAAAACAATTTTTCAACTAAAGTAGCAGACACAGAACACAGATGCTAATGACAATAAACAACAGACAGGTGCAAGGTAGTCATATTAGAAGCAGCTAGTGTTTGAAAAATTCAGCACATGATTGCAGGGAGAACAGCAGCGTTCATCTCACATTGGCTCTGCCAGCTGAATAGCACATTAGTCAGGACTGTGTGTGTGTAATTGTGTCATTGTTAAAGTGCTACTCTTTGCATATGTGGTCAGGAAGAGTGAAGCTATGGAATACTGAAGCAGATAAAAGTGTTTGTGTGTGGAGGAGAAACAATAATGTACAGTATGTGGAAAATAATGTGTGTTTTGAACTTTAAACCGCATAAACACATTTCATTACACCAAATACACAAAATAATGTTCTTTTTAGCAACATCATATGACCCCTTTAAGACTCTAAAACATCCCTTTAGAATTTAAATGTTTGTTTATTGATAGCAAACGGGAAAATGGCACTTAGTTCCACAACTTTCTGACGTCTGAATTAAACAAATGCACACATGCCCGCCTACATTTACACATTAACAATGCCAATTCGCTATTCAGAAACTTGGCCCGAAACTCACTTTCTAAAGAATGAAACGTTAGAAACCTCAGTTTTTCAGACTTTGCAAAGAGGCTGTTGTTGTTATAGACATTAATGTGAGTGCAACTTGTGAGTAAATGCAAAATTTCACATGCAAAGAGGACATTTACATTGAAGTTTTGCAGGCACATCAACAAGAAATTTAATTCTGATCATTTCTGTGTTTAGCCTCAATGGCCACCGCAATTTCTGATGAAGAGCAATGTATGGAAATTGTGAGAAAATTAAGCACAAAATTAAATCTTGACGTGTCCCACCACAGGACAAAGAAATATTGATAATCCAACTTTATATTAAAGTTATATAGTTTCTGAAGCTCATTACTAAAAGTTTATTTTAATGTAATATATTAAAATGTTGCATTTACTATATTTAATAACATACTCTATTGTAATTTTGACAGAAATATGACAGAAAGAGTTTATTATGGGAGAATTCTATACTGGAAGCTGAAATTTTAGTGGAAATAAGTAGGCAGCCAGTGTGTGAGGCAGTCATTAAAGAGAAGGTGAAAATTGGTCATAACAAAATTCTAAGTGCTGTTAGCACTCTTTAGTAACATTAACAAAAAAAAATATTATATGACCTTGAATAACAGTAGCAGGCTTTGTTAAATGATTAAATTAAGCAGTATTGAATAAGAATGAGTGCGGAATATCAGCCCAGATGTGATCGTACTACAACATAGAACAAAAATTTCCCTCGCTGCTTGAAGCAATACAAGCTCAACAGCAAAGCTTCTAGCCGATATTTCTATTGTGCCTCATCAGATATCATATGTGCTACTGCAAGACCC